GGGAAGCAGGATAGTCTGCAACACAGTGGCCTCTGGGGCTCAGACGGGTGGTACCTAGAGGTACCCTGGAGACTGGGTCATAAAGCCAGTGGACTTTGGGGGCACTGTTGTCCAGAACCAGTCCTTCAGCTTTGCTTCTGTCATCTGAATACCCTTCATCACGCTATGTTTTTGGAAAAGTCATGTTTGTTATTATAGCCTAGACTCAGTTGTGCTTTGGGAAATTAAGAGAGAGACTGTGTTATATGGTTTAGCACTTTGGGGCCTAACCAAATTAATAGACTAAGGGCAGTAGGTTTCTGAAGTCTGAGTCTCTAAATCTAGTCCATAATTGAAGCCCTTTAATGTTTGCTAGACTGAATTTAATTTAGAAAGGAAACCTCCAGATAATGTTTATCCACGGCATTGCTTTGCTCATACACATGCTGAATCATGTTGACCACTTATGTGGGCAGGTTGTAAGTCTGACACTTTTATTTTTCCACCAGTAGGTTTAGCAGTTCACCTATCTAAAATAACCTTTCTTTTTTAAAAATGTTTATTTATTTATTTATTTTTGAGAGAGAGAGAGAGAGAGAGCACAAGGGGGCAGGGAGGGACAGAGAGAGAGAGAGAGAGAGAGAGAGAGAGAGAGAGAGAGAGAAAGAAAGAGAGAATTCAAAGCAGGGTCCAGGCTCTGAGCTGTCAGAACACAGCCCAATGCAGGGCTTGGAAACCCACAAACATCAGATCATCACCTGAGCCAAAGTCAGACGCTTAACTGACCAAGCCACCCAGGCATCCCTAAAGTAACCTTTCATATGACTTAACTGAGTTCTGAATATGACCCAGTACCTCCAAAAATCTTGTTCAAAGGATCTGATATTTGAGAAAGGCAGTCCAATGGACATGCTAAGTCATCATTCATCTGTGACACACATGCCAAGTTCTAATCACACACAATTAGAACATCATCAAGCTGAGTACCTGGCCCACAGCCTCCCTCCCACAGCCTCCTAGGGCCGGGTGCCTTCACGGACAAAGATTTAGCATCAATACGCAGGATGGGGCAATCAGAATTGAGTCTTTTGAAATGTGGTGATTAAAGGTATTTTCAACTATGAAACTCACTGTTCTTAATAGAGGATAAAAAATCATATTTACTTCATATACACACAAAATTGTCTCTATAGATAACTGTAAGACTTCTTTTGTCAAAAAATGAAAATTATATAATCTTAGCTCCTCTTTCCACTACATATATCAAAGCCCTACACCTAAATTTGTCCTCTGGTTATATTTGCTGGTTCATTCCAGCTGCTTGGTAACATTTACTTTTTCTGTTTCATCCTCAGATGGCTTAATTTGTATGTAATTAATTTGCAAACCACCTGAAATCCTTTTGGAAACAAATGAGGTACAGCACTGAAACACATAAATCCCTAATTCTTTCCAGAGATCAAACCCAAAAAGTACTAAATAGCAAGACCAATATAAGGATATTTTATTCAATTGCCTTTCCAAAATGGGGAGTTGGATAATCATTTACAGGCGAAAAGTCAATGACATGAGTGAACATTAAGTTGGGTGGTCGATTATATTTGATGAAAAAAACTCTTAGCAAAATAAATAAGTAAGTAAATAAATAAATAAATAAAGTATAAATATATCTCCTTCAGTCAATAAAAGGAACTTTGCGGTCATCCACATAGTAATTTGGCCTTCAGTTAGTCCAGTGCAAAATGCTTTACTGGAATGATAATCAGTAGCAACTCTGGTGTGTCTTAGTTACATTCTCTTCCCCCAAGAGAGTTAGAATAATTTGCTAAGAGAGCAGGGGTCATGCTTAAATTCTGACAGTGTCAATGCCATGTCAGCAGACTCAATTCAGGGAGTGAAGAACACTGGAGCTGCATTGCCATGTTCAGCAGCTACTCTATTAACTCCCTGCAGTGGACCCATGGGGCTGACCAGGTCTTCATGGATAATCCAGAAGGAAATATTGAAGATGTCACACAAGGTATCTTACATACAAATAGCAAAATTATAATGCAAAATCAAAACTGACATCATAAAAATCAAAGACAGGTGTAGTAAACAGGTGAGTGTGCTATAAATCGGTTAATGTTAATTGCAACTCCAAGGTACACATTCGCCACTGGTTAGGATCTGCTTTATTGCTGCATAAATTAGCCAGCCCTGCAGAGAAGCATAGAGAACAATCTGTTCTGCTGTGTACTACCTTTAGCTACACCGTGTTTGTTTCGGCCTCGTGTCTGCTTTGGAAATGCACATCTACCGCATGCAGGAAATTGATTCCAGGGTGCTGTCCTTGGTCTTATTCCTCAGCTCTCTTTGCTAACAGGCAGCCATTGTCTAGGTCACGTCCTCAGCCCACAAAGAACTACAAGACTCCACCTGCCTTTCTTCAATGATCCGTCACAGCCAGCTAACAGATATCACAGCCCCCTAAGACAAGGGCTGCTGTTGTTTTGAAATTTACCTCCAACCATCTAATCAATACCTCGTTCGAACCGGGTTCCTGAGGCATATGATTTACGGTCATGATTTACAACTAGCTTTTAGCAAGCAGGGCTTAATGACCCTTCCTTTATTGTTCTGACCAGGTAAAATCTGTTCCCCTCTGTGTTCCACAGTATCTTACTTTCCAGCTGCTGTTTCTGCTACATCCCTGAAGGACTGGGACTCAGAAAGACACCGCTGAGGCTGGCCAGGGAGAGGCCTTGGTACCAAAGTGCAGATGCTGGATTACTAGGCAGTAGACTTACTAGAGATCTGGAACCTCAAATGGGTTTCTTTAAGCTGTCTGTGAAGACTAATTCTTCTCCAACCTCCTAAAGCAAGTCATCAATCACCAACTAGAGGGGAGCCTCAAGTGTTGGGGTGTAAGCAACCACACGGGCCTCCTACAAAGTACAATCCAATTAAAGCACAGCTTTCAGCTCAGAGTGTGGGCAGGCCTCGTTAATTAGGGATGACTGGAGAAAATGCCTTTGTAAATCAGAAAACACTCTGAATTTTAACATATTTTATACATAAGTACAATGCGGTTATTTTAAACCACAGGCAAGGTTAAGGAAGTGGGTCTGAGATCTCCATTGATCTTTAATCAATAAATTAGCATTCATTTGTGATTACCACGTTCAGTGTTTTAAGGTAAGTGGATGCTTTGGAATTGCTTGAAGGAGTCCAAAAATACTGTAATTTGTCCTCTTAAATTCCTTAAACATTGCCCCAACTTCAGCATCAGGAAATTTCTGAACAATGGCACAAAGACAAACTTCAAACAGTACCCTGACATAATTTTTCCAAATGTCCTAATTAGAAGATGTGATTTAATGAGGTTTTCATTATACTGTATATTACAGAAATAAAACCAGAAGAATGCATCTTCAAGACAAGAACTTCAGTTTTAACACTGACATGCCCTATTGATGCTGGACTTAAAGAGGTGCTTCACTTTGTCCTTCAAAATGTCAAATTAGGTTTCAGCCCAGCCATGTCAGTGAATCCCAAGGATACACTTAATGCAGTAAGAACAGAGCTCTGCAGTGACGTGGACTGACTGGCACTCTTGAGTCATTAAAACCGATAAAGGCTTACAGCAAGCTGATGACAATAGTGTGGGAAATAGCTTTTGTATTAGTACAATCTGAGTTCTTATTAATTTTTATAGAACTAATGAATTATAAGAAGAGAAGGAAAAATGAACCCCTACAGTCACCTACAGGAGACACAATACTGGTGTGGTTAGGAGCTTTGGGGCTGAAATCCTGCCTTTCCTAATTTGCTGGCTCTGGGATCCTGGACCAGCTGCTTCTTATTGCTAAGTTTTGGTTTCCTCTTCTGTAAAACAGGGATAAATAACAGTTTTTGAATAAGTGACATTTGAAAAATGCTTAGCCTGGCATCCGCCACATGGTAGTGACTTCAAAGATTGTATTACTTCCACAGCTATTGGGAATGAATGCTAGTTTCGGTATACGCCCTCTCTCCAGTGTCATCTAATCCCATTTTCTCCTCATGTGTAAGGTTTTAGCAAAAACACTACTTCACATGCTATGTTCGAAATCCCAGTGCTGATGCTGTCGTTGTCGACAATGTGTCGGGCACTGTGCTAAGTGCTTTACATACACTCTCTTTAATCCCCACAGTGACCCAGTGAGGGAGTGGTGATATTATTGTGTTATGATTTAACTTCATAATTCAGATCATTTCATCTTATAAATGAGGAAACTGATGGGATACAGAGAGAAAAGTTAAAGCCAAAATTGGAACCCGGGGAGTCTGGATCCTCCCCTATCCTGCTTCCTATTTCATTTCTACTGCTGCTGCTGAGGTTTCTTACGCTCGGACCTAGCATCGGACTGGTGTTTACGCTCAGAGCAGTACTGGTCTGGATATCCCAGTTTCCATCCAGTGGTGCACACGATACTGTAACTCCTTTCTCCAGGGATAAGAACTTACTCAGGGTACAGAACCTTGTTACTCATTATGAAAGTCTGTAGGAGACAGAGGATAAAAGTAAAAGATGGTCTGTAGCTTTTGGGTTCTGAAGTTTAATTCTCATCCAGATATTCCACCATATTCCCATCTGCAAGGTCAAGACCCTGATACCTAAAGCATGATGAGCGCCATCTGACTTATTTCTAATGGTCTTGGAAATTTCTACTTGGGGAAGGGTTTGTACTTTCCCAGTATATGGGAAACAGTCATGATTCCTTGAATTGCGTCTTCTACATGTTCGGTTATATATGCATCCTCCCCACCCCCATTTCCCATGATCTTGGCTTATTTTTTCTGTTAGGAAATAGGTGCGCCTATATAAAAGCAAGAAAACACAGCAGGAAAAGTAGAAAACCACAGCTCTCACTGTGGGTGGACAGGGGTAGACAGGACCCCTGGAGGTCATCTGTCTCAATCCCCTCCTCATGCTGGGAACAGAGGGCTCAGAATTATTTCCCATACTTTCAGGGCAGGTCATACTGCAATGCTCTTACCCTTGCCGTGAAGTCCACAGCAGCCGCTCGGTTTAACAGCAACGTGGCTACATTGATATTCCCATAGTGAGCAGCTATGTGGAGAGGAGTGAAGCCACTCTGTAAAGAAAACATAGCAGGCATTCAATGGACTCTTGCCGGCCCCTTGTCTGACACGCGAAAACCATAACCCTGCCCAAAGAAAAAGGAGGAAGCAAAATATGCTAAGGTCCACATTCCATTCTGTACTAGGTTTCTTTCAGTTAGTGCCAATTGTTCACAGGGTTTCAAATAAATGCCAAACTCATAGGCAGAGGAATAGCCAGGAAGGAACCAAGGGTGCAGACTGAATAATTTTAGTAGTCCAGTAGCAGAACTATACAGAAGCCAACGTTTCAAAAAGTCAAAACAGGAATGACAAGAAAAATCTATAGCTTATAGAAAGTTTGATTAGTACTGCTGTTTTATTATCAAAGATAGAATTGTCCATTGAAACTCTTTGTCAAAATTCAATTTGTTTAATATATTTAATATAGAGCAAATGCCAATTTCAATGATAAAACCAATTTGAGGGGAGGTCACTACAATTGGTCTTGTATAATGGGTGATTCCATTTTATAAAGAATCCACAAGTTGGTCTCTTTATTAGTAAATGCCTATTCAATAACACATGTTTCTAGCTTATCCATTCCAAGGTCATTTTACTTCCTTAAAAAATGCTAAAACATGCAGCAATTCACTTAGTCCCCAAAGATTGAAACCTTATAGGAACTAGATGCATTTCTAAGTTGTTAGCAAGCTTCTTAGCCATGCTAGCTATCTGACTGAGTCTTGTGGGAAGGGGTGGGAGATAGATATTGCTACCATTCAGAGGTAACCTTCATTTTGCTGACACCACTGAGGGTAAGTGTCATGCAGAACTCTGAAGAATCAGTCCTGGATGAGTAGAATGACAGGGTTGTCTGCAGCTTCAGGTATAGCTGATAAGCATCTAAAGCGTCAAAACTCTTCATCTCACACAACTCTATTGCGATGCCCTTAAGTCTCAAGGATTCCTCATCCTTCCCTTCCAACACCAGGTTCAGCTGCAGAAAGCCCTGGTAATCAAACTACTATCTTCTCTGGCACATGCTACTTTGGGGGGCAGGGGTGGAAAGCAGGTATCTAGCCTACAGAAGGCGATGCAAAGAAGGAGGGAAAGAAATGAGGCAGCAGCACTAAGTGATGGGGAAATGATGATGCAGATACAGATTCTATGTATATGTTTATATATATATATATATACCTCTGTTGTTCTATTCACCACCATCTAGGTTAACACATTTGGAAGCAAAGAGGAGGAAAAAATGAACGGTTAGTTCACTGTCGGTGACATGGACAGCAGCAAGCTCATGACAGCTAAGTAATGAGGATGAAAGCAATGATGGGAACACAAGAGGCACAGAAAGAAAGCTAGACTGAATGAAGGGCTACACAATGGCCCCTTCCAAATGCCACATTTCCTTCACAGAGACTTTCAGGGAGTACATGTCAAGGCCATGAGAATTTTCGGCTGGGACTCTGGCTGCCAGCATGCTCTCCACAACCGATCAATACTCAGTGCATTGCCTCTCATCTTAGATACCAACCAAAGGTTTATTTGTGCACATCGTTGTTAGCGTTTTCTAATCTTCCACCCTGGTGTTTGAGCTGACATGTTAAATACGTTAAAAAATATGGTAAAAGGAAGGAAACTGACAAGGGCATATTAATTAATGCCTGAGGTGGCCTCCCTGTTAGCATGCATCGGACGGTGTCCACAGTTATTACCTCCTAGCTTTAGGTGCTTGGACATGTATTTTTATTACTCCCCATGAAGTTCAGTGTTTGGGGCAAGCTTGCCAAAAGGGAGACCAGGCATTCTTACAGTGTGGGTGCCTCACACAGGAGAGTGGCATGACCAGCTCACCTCCTTCGTGCCTCACCTTTGACTCCACGTCTGCGTTGTTGTCATTCTGCAGCAGCAGGGCCGCGGCTTTCGTGTCGTCTTTTCGGGCAGCGATGTGAAGAGCTGGAAGACGCACTTTTCCTTTAGTGTCATTTTCTAACAGCAGAGAAACTACTTGATCATGACCTTGTTGCAAAGCTACTGCCAATGGTGTGAAGCCATCCTGCAAATAAATGGATGGGTCAAGAAGGATGCCTGTGGATCTGTTCTTTCTGATTAATAAATAAGAATGCGACCATGTGACCAATTTTTGTTTAGGTTGTTAAAGCTAGCATATTCAAGTAGGCAGACATGTGAAAGACACATTTATATTTATATTTATATTTTATATTATATATATTTATCTTATTTATATTTATACTTATTTATATTTACCAAAACATACAATGATAAGAAATTTATAAAAAGTTTATGGGTTTTCTTCTGTTAAAAGTGATATACATTAACTGGGTAAGTTTTGAAAATACATAAAAGTACCACATAAAGAGGAAAAAGATACCATAATTTCAATATCCAGAAAATAACCACAGTGAAAACAATAATATTTCAGGTTAAATCCAAGCAAAATTTTCAAAGGATCTTATTTAAATAAGATATACAAATTTCCACTGATATATAAATTTTTTTTTAATTTTTCATATTTGAGAGAGACAGTATGTGAGTGGGGGAGGGGCAGAGAGAGAGGGAGACAGAATCCAAAGCAGGGTCCAAGCTCTGAGCTGTCAACACAGAGCCCGACGTGGGGCTCGAACTCATGAGCTGTGAGATCATGACCTGAGCTGAAGCTGGACACTTAACAGACTGACTCACCCAGGTGCCCCCCACTGATATTTTAAAGCTGGGGGATATGCCTGTCTGGTTCATCAGTGTACCTTGTTGCCTAGCATTTATCTGGTGGTCAATCTAAACATGTTAATTAATGAATCGTTGCAATTGCTGTTTTAGGAAAGGTCTTTATGAAAAATTCTTGACTTCTCTGACCAACCAAGGGAGAATACACAGGGATCAGGCACAATCTGACTAGGATAAATTCAGATATACACTCCTGTATATTTTGAGTCTTCCTGTTGATGTCCCTGGGACCTGACAAAGAAAAGTCAGCTACAGACTTTACCGTGGTTAAGTAATTTGTGGATGGGCTAGTATTGCTGACTGCAGAATAAACAGCGCAGAGTAGACAATCCTAAGACTGGCTTACAAATTTGAATTCTGCAATGCTTTTATTATTAGACACTCAAAAGAACATTAATCAATTATTTTTACTAGAGAACTGGCGAATTACTTATTTCACTTGGCTCATGATATTGTATATCAGTAGCCCTGGTGCTACACATAGAGGACTACTCCAATGGAACGGTATTTGGAAGGGAGAAAAGAAAATCTAGTTACTTGTATACTAATGTCTTGTCTTCCTAAACCACCACTTCATCATTCTTTTCCTTGATGAACAACCAGATAAGGGTTCCTACCACTTATTTGACTGAATGCACATCATTGTGTTTCTTTTTAAGGATGTGCAAAATATTGGCCCCAATACCAGGCTCTTCTCATATAAATCCTTTCCTGTAGTCTCCATATTAGCTATGGATGTGCAAATTATTTCTGCTCCAGCTCCTATACTCATGCTATGACCCTCACCCTGAAATGTCCTCCTCCTTGCTCTACATATACAAATTCTATCCATTCGTCATGCTTCGAGATCCAGCTGAAGTTCCATCTGCCCCTTTCACTTTTCCAAGAAGACTCAAACGAGGGAAAGGATGATCATTAATGTGGCTAGAAGGACTGTCCCTGTAGCCTTAAGAAAGACAAGAAAGCTGAATACAACAAAGACATCCCCAAAAGAATATCACAGATTTACACTTAAGGACATAAAGTTTAGAATGTAATTTAATGTTATGAGAAAACCAATATACATAACTGTGTAAATATATGACATCATTTTTGTAAAGATAACATGTACCAAAAGGTCTTAGTGAATAAACAAAGTGTTTACTCTAGGGAAAATTAACAGTGGCTCTTTTTTCTTTTTGCTTTTTCCTATACTTTCTCACTTACATAATCTGTTACTTTTGCAAAGAAAAAGAAAAAAACATTTTTAAAGGATAGAATGGCAAAAGGAACATTATGTATTAAGAAGGAACATGGGGCACCTTGGTGGCTCAGTTGGTTAAACAGCTGACTCTTGATTTCATCTCAGGTCGTGATTTTGTGGTCATGGGACAGGCTTTGTGTGGGTGTGAAGCCTGCTTGAGATTCTCTCACTCCCTCTCCCTCTGCCCCTCCCCACCAAAAAAGAGTGAATGTGGTGGCACCTCCCTTTTAAAACCTGGACAAAATACATTAAAAAAATTAAAAAATTAAAAAAAAGGGGGCATCTGGGTGGCTCAGTTGGTTAAGCATCTGACTTCAGCTCAGGTCATGATCTCATCACTAGTGAGTTCAAGCCCTGCATTGGGCTCTCTGCTGAGAGCTCAGAGCCTGGAGCCTGCTTCGAATTCTGTCTTCCTCTTTCTCTGCCCCTCCCCTGCTCATGCTCTGTCTCTGTCTCTCTCCCTCTCCAAACTAAACATTAAAAAAAATTTTATTTAAACCTGGACAAAATCTAAAGGGTAAAAATGACAGCCCATTTATGGTTCTGAATCATAAGTAAATGGCTACATTTCTGCTAATATGAACTTCTAAACCCACAAGGCCTATACATAAAGAAAACGACTTTGCACCAGAAAATTAACTGCAACTGATACCATCAGCACCCCTAAGAATGTGCTTCCCGCAATAAGCCAATTAAAAACACAAAGATACCAGTTCTAAGGTGTCAATAGCTAAAATTAGCAGCTCCAGATTTTGGTTGCAAACCTAGTTTAAACAGTTTGGTTCACTCTGTGCAGTTATTCTTAAAAAAAAAAAAAGCCAAAAGAAAATATTACGGAAGCTCCAAGAGAAACTTCATTGCCTTGGGGAGTATCTGGCATGCAATAGGTGCTTAATAATTATTTGTGGGGTAAATGAACAAATACATTTACCTCATGTTTCAGAATCTTAATTAGCAAAAGAAGGAAGATGTATATGGAAAAGAGGGGATATGCAGTATACACTTAATACAGAAAAGGGTTTGTTTGTTTTTTTAAGATTTTTATTTTTTTAAATCATCTCCACACCCAGTGTGGGGCTTCAACTCACAACCCTAGGATCAATAGTCATATGCTCCACAGACTGAGCCAGCCAGGCACCCCAGGAAAGGTTTTAAAAACCATAATCAGGGGTGCCTGGATGGCTCAGTCGGTTAAGCATTTGACTTTGGCTCAAGTCATGATCTCACGGTTCGTGGGTTCGAGCCCCACATCTGACTTCAGATTCTGTGTCTCCCTCTCTCTCTGCCCCTCCCCTGCTCACACTCTGTTTCTCAAAAATAAATAAACATTAAAAAAAATTAAAAACCATAATCATGCCAAAGACTTAGCAGTAAGTTGGACTTAATGCTTGCTGCTAAAGGAGAGATACTTAGTGATCTGTATATCACAGTCTAAAACTGCCTGTCCTTCACAGGCAAAAAAAAGTACTATGAAATCACTTTCATTAGGATATTTATATTATTTAGTATTTTTATTCAAAAATGGGAGTGGGTTTTTCTCTTATCCAACAAGTAGGCATTGCTCTACGCCTACCAAATGTAGTTTCTTTTTTTTTTTTTTTTTTTTTTTTTTTTTTTTTTTTTTTATTTTTTTTTTTTAAATTTTTTTTTTTTCAACGTTTTTTTATTTTATTTTTGGGACAGAGAGAGACAGAGCATGAACGGGGGAGGGGCAGAGAGAGAGGGAGACACAGAATCGGAAACAGGCTCCAGGCTCTGAGCCATCAGCCCAGAGCCCGACGCGGGGCTCGAACTCACGGACCGCGAGATCGTGACCTGGCTGAAGTCGGACGCTTAACCGACTGCGCCACCCAGGCGCCCCTCTTTTTTTTTTTTTTTATAAACCAGTAGTTCTTACCTGCCTTTAAGAGTACTATTATAAAAACAATACATTCTAATGATAAAAATCCTCAACAGTATGGAAGGATATAAAGTGAAAAGTAAATCTCCCTCCTACTGCTCAGAATAAACCACTGAGAACAATATACCATGGAAATTTTCTTCTATCAGTACATATTGTCTTGCCTCACTTCTGATAATTCCAAATAGCATGTTATTGTGTGAGTATAGCAACATTATGAAACAGGCTTCCTACTGGTGCATATTTAGGTTTTTTCCAGTTTTTAAAAAATTGTTCTAATTCTGTTGGTGAACTTCTCATATACCATTTTGGCATCTCCTTCTAATACATCTGGAATGTAAATTCTTAGAAGTGGAATTATAAAAAGGTACGTAAATACTAATTTTTGACAGTTACTGCTAAATGTTCTGCAAAAGTGTTGCAACCAATGGTCAACTTTACCAATACTGTGGGAAAGTTCCAATTTCTTCTACTCTCTAAATTCTTTTATTTATCTCCCAGGCAAAAGACTGGGTCTAATTTTTTAACTGATTAATAAATTAATATTTCTTTGACTATCAGTGAGGATGGGATATTTTCATACATTTATGGTCATTTGTATTTCTTTTTGTGCAAACTGCCTCTTCATTTATTTAGAGGTTTCCCCAGAAGGCATGATCTCAAAAGCTGGGTGAGGTTATATGCAATTCCTCTATTGCTACCTTTCTTGTGCCATTTGGAAAGCACATCAGAATGTAAGAGGAACCCTATTCTGACAGGGATAACTCTGCATCTGTTTTTATGATTTTGTTAAAAATAAAGAATACCCAAATGTTGATCTTTTAATATTAGCAATAGATTTTTTTTTTTTAATTTGAGAGATATAAGAGAGAAAAAGCATGAAAGGAGGACAGGGGCAGAGGGAGAGAGACAGAATCTTAAGCAGTCTCCATACTCAGTGTGGAGCCCCATGCGGGGCTCAATCCCACAACCCTGGGATCATGACTTGAGCCGAAATCAAGAGTTGGATGCTCAACTGACTGAGCCACCAGGTGCCCTAGCAATAGATTTCTAGAGATACGCTTCACCAGGAATCATAATCTTCCATCCAGTTTAGTTTAAAAAATAAACTGTATTACTTAAGACAGTCCCGCTGACTTAAATAGCTTTTTATTTAAAAATAACTCTTCTGGGGCGCCTGGGTGGCGCAGTCGGTTAAGCGTCCGACTTCAGCCAGGTCACGATCTCGTGGTCCGTGAGTTCGAGCCCCGCATCGGGCTCTGGGCTGATGGCTCAGAGCCTGGAGCCTGTTTCCGATTCTGTGTCTCCCTCTCTCTTTGCCCCTCCCCCGTTCATGCTCGGTCTCTCTCTGTCCCAAAAATAAATAAACGTTGAAAAAAAAAATTTAAAAATAACTCTTCTATTCAAGACCGTAAAATTTTCTTCAATACTATGTTAATCTAACACTTAAAACATAATAGTTTTGTTGAAAAGTGTGAATTAAATCCAGTTAATTTTAGAAATACATAAATTCAATTATTATAACTACACTAACATATTTGGAACAAACAGATTTCAAACATGTCTTATTACAAACATATTTCAAAACAGTGGTTGCCTGTGAGGCAAAATTATAAGAAACAGAAAAGTGTTCTAAAACAAATATGTAAATAGTAAATAGCTCAATTATAAGATAGAGCCAGGCATTTAAGAGCAGAAAGTATATCTATGCAATGAAGATTCCTTAAAGATGAAGAATAGACTTTCTAGTGTATTTCATAAACATTTAAGAATCCCCACATTGGGGCGCCTGGGTGGCTCAGTCGGTTAAGCGGCCAACTTCAGCTCAGGTCATGATCTCGCGGTCCATGGGTTCGAGCCCCGTGTTGGGCTCTGTGCTGACAGCTCAGAGCCTGGAGCCTGTTTCAGATTCTGTGTCTCCCTCTTTCTCTGACCCTCCCCTGTTCATGCTCTCTTCTGTCTCAAAAATAAATATTAAAAAAAAATTTTTTTTTTAAAAATAAGGAATCCCCACATTAATATATGATTACAATTGAAATACTAGTGGGACAAATTCTCCATGTTACAACTCCAGGCCTACAAAATGCCCTGTAAACATGGAAATTTACCCACAGAAAGAACCAATATATCTTACCTCTGTGGCTAGGCTCTGGCTTGCACCATTGTCAAGAAGAAACTTGACAACTTCCAGGTGGTTTTCCTGGGCTGCCATATACAATGGCGTGAAACCATTCTGCAAAAGAAGAAATAAAATGTTTATTTATGGATTTATGGGGCCAATCTAGTTTTCTACCATACTGGTATTTTTTGTTTCAGAAAATGCTCATGTATAATAAGTTTAAGAATACTTTAATGTGGATATTCATATTCATTAGAAAGCCTAAACATGATAGTTTAAGCAGAATTTATAAGTGTAATTCAAAGTACTTTATAACATAACACTTATAATTTGTAACTTGGGTATAGTTTATAATTAATGGTGTGTGTATAATTCATACCAATAGATCCACTTTAGATAAATAAGTACATTTGTTTAATCATCAACCTCTTAATGAGTGCCTACAATGAGCAAAGGATTTTCCTAGATTATGTAAGGGTTTGAAGAAAAATACATTTGGTCAGTGTCCCAGTGAACTTTTTCCCCACACAATAATTAGCTATTTCATATAAAAGGTGTAATACTTTAAAATTAGAGAGTCTAGGGGCGCCTGGGTGGCGCAGTCGGTTAAGCGTCCGACTTCAGCCAGGTCACGATCTCGCGGTCCGTGAGTTCGAGCCCCGCGTCAGGCTCTGGGCTGATGGCTCAGAGCCTGGAGCCTGTTTCCGATTCTGTGTCTCCCTCTCTCTCTGACCCTCCCCCGTTCATGCTCTGTCTCTCTCTATCCCAAAAATAAATAAACGTTGAAAAAAAGAAAAAAATATAATTTAAAAAAAAAAAAATTAGAGAGTCTAAAATAGTTCACAATTTGGAAGGAATTTATATTACTTTCAAATAGCTTCAAAGTTGCTACAAATGGGATGACTTGGAGCAAAGGAAAGGACACCAATATGCAAAAAGGTATACTTCAATTTCAAAACAGAATTCAATTAGTAGTCTACGTTTTGGTAAGTTTCCTTCCTTGCATTGTTTTGCAAAGCCATAGTATTTTCATGTTCAGAATACACACACACACACACACACACACACACACACACACACACACTCTATATGTGTATTTATGTTTGTCTGAAATGTAGCCACTGCCAAAGAATCTGGATTAAAGTAAATGAATGTGTACATTGCATCTTAAGCTTTTGACTAAAAATATGTTGCATATGTGTGCTTGTTTTCTAGAACAATTTATTTCATATTTATGAAATATTTGAATATTTCATCTGTGTAATATTTCAAAATCTTATCGCCAAATACATACACCAAAACATATTTTTCAAATGATAACATTTTCTTTGAATACATTTTTCAGAATACAGTTCTGTTTAATTGTATGTTCCGGAAATTTTATTGTATTCATTATGCAATTACAAGGAATATAGGTAAATATATTCCAAATAAAATGTACCAAATATTACTCAAACTTTTATACTTCAAAAGGTTTAGGTTCATTGTTATAAATATCAGTGACTCTATGACTACCTTACTTATCTATAATTCAGCCTCTGGTGACACCACGCTTTTGGCTTTTAGCTAAAAATTTAAAAGTAACTTAAAAAGATCCTTGAGCAGGGCACCTGGGTGGCTCAGTCAGTTAAGTGTCCGACTTTGGCTCAGGTCATGTTCTCACGGTTTGTGAGTTCCAGCCCCACATCGTGCTCACTGCTGTTGGGCACAGAGCCCACTTCAGATCCTCTGACCCCCTTTCTCTGTCCATCCCCCCATCAAAAACAAAATAAAACATTAAAAATTAAAAAAAAAAGATCCTCAAGCAGATAAAAGTGATGTCACATAACAAATCTACCATAGTGTATATATATACTTTATTCATCAGAGAGCTCATCTATTCTACTTACTCTATTTTACATATAATTATAACATGCTAGGTTATCTGGTTGCCAAGCTCAAAATTAGAGACATGAGATTAGAGGCTAGAGAATATGACAAAGCATTCAAGCTTCTTCCCTTTAAATTACATCATTGAAGTTCACTGCTATCCTGTTCTCTCATGAAAGGTTTGATCAACATTAAACGTGGAATAATTGCAACAAAATGTGTGTGTACATATGTGTGTGTGTGCGTGTGCATACAGGCAGGTATGTGTGTATGTGCCTGGTGTGTTTTGTCTTTGTCACTCTTCCCATAGATTTGAGGGAAACTGAGAGGTACTTTAGGATTACCCTATATTGCCGATTATTTTTTTATTTTCTTATTTGACCAAGATGGAAGATTACTTAATTCTTGGTTGAGTTAAATATTCCTTAAAAAAAAACCAGAAAAAAACAACAGAAAATATTAAGAAAGAAGAAAAAGGTAAAAACTAGGGGGATTTTTGTTATAGCTCAGTGAACTACTGAGTGTCTTTCCTCACCAGCTGAAATTTCCAGATGGAAGGTCCGGTTTTTAGGAGAAAAGTTCTTAAGAAAAATTTTGAAAATAGATGTTATTCTCTCAAACATAAATATCAACAATTTATGTCAGTGGATTCTCTCAACTTCAGGGCAGAGATTTGCTGTCGTTCAAGGTTACCTAAGGAACACTGGTCTGCATACAAATACCCGGTTTCTGGCCTGATGTACGTAGACAGTTCTTGAGTTTATCTTCCAGAACCAAACGTTTCATGAGCCAGGAAGATAATCCAAAACCAGGTACTGAGGTTTAAGGGATGTTGGAGCTTACAGACCTGGAGCTTTCAAAGAGTGATTCTTAACAAGCACGACTTTTAAATCATTCCACATGCCCTTCTCACAAGAACAGAAATTGAACTGTGTAGAACTGTGATCACTCAAAAATCATATGTAGATAAGAGTCACAGTAAGATTGAGCCCTATAATTAATCATTTCCCACAATTGCTTCTCCTCTTTTTTTTTTTTTTTTTTTTTTTTTTGTTAGTGTTTGCCATTCTATTGCCATTACCTGAAAGCTGGTCATTTTCTGAATGGTCACATTCTTTCACATTTTTTCAGTTTTATATATATTTTTTAAAATATAATTTACATATCATAAAACTCACCCATTTGAAGTGTAAAATTTAGTGGGGCAACCATCCCCACTATCTAATTCCAGAACATTTTCATCACCCCAAAAAGGAATTCTGTACTATTAGTATTCACTCCCCATTGACCCCTCCCCATGCCCTCTGGCAAACACTAATCTGCTTTCTGTCTCTATGGATTTGCCTGTTCTGAACACTTCATATAAATGGAATCACACAATATATGGCATTGAATGGGGATGAATGGTCTCATTTTACTTCTGTGGTTCATATTGATAAAATGTTTTTGGTGTTTTTGTTTTTTCCTCCATAATGGACATTTCCATTTTATAGTGGAAATTTGAGTGTTTCTTTATTTTGTTTTGCTTTAGTTTTGGTCAGCAAGCATCTGTCTCTTCTAGCAATGTCACTCCTATTTTCTTTAGGGCACTACCTCTTCCCTGAAATGTAGGTAGTGCCTGTCTTGGTTGGACTTTAAGACAATTTAGCCTGAACTTCTTCAACCACAGAGTAGGCACATGTACAGGATATCTTCTGTTTTCTCTTCCAGGTCTACTCTCTATTTTTCTTAATTCTATTTTCTGCCAAATCCCCCCTCCCCCCTCTCAAATGATCTGTAAAAACTATTATTGAAGGGCAACTTTACTGTTTAGCTTCTGGTTACTCCCACCCTAACTCTCTGGTTACCAAAGCTTTCCAAAAAGCTCCTTTAGCTTTCTATTTGATGTGTTCCCCAAATAATTTCAATAAATTCCCATTTTTGTTCAAGTTAGTTTCTGTTGTTTTAATCCCAAAAATCTCAATACAAATTTTTATTTTTTTAAAAAAAAAATTTTTTTTCCAACGTTTATTTATTTTTAGGACAGAGAGAGACAGAGCATGAACGGGGGAGGGGCAGAGAGAGAGGGAGACACAGAATCGGAAACAGGCTCCAGGCTCTGAGCCATCAGCCCAGGGCCTGACGCGGGGCTCGAACTCCCGGACCGCGAGATCGTGACCTGGCTGAAGTCGGACGCTTAACCGACTGCGCCACCCAGGCGCCCCCCAATACAAATTTTTAAAATCAAGAAAGGATCAACATGGCATGAGAATACATGTACACCATCTAGTTATGGTTCTAGGGAGTAATTATAAGCATCCTTTGGAAAGACGAATGAAAATATGATCATTACACTCTCATACAAAGAGGCTTAAGGCACAAGGATTCCAATGTGTTGTCAATGTACAACCTACAGCTGAAATGATTTTTTGTAAAATAGCACCTACATTGGGAAAATGGTCAGATTTCAGAAAGAATATTATTTTTCTTTTAAGATAAAAAAGTACACCACTGTTTTTTTTTTTTTTTTAATTAATTTCCTAACTTAGGAAATTTCCAAAACAAAGAGCTGGCCAAAAGGGAACATATGGGTGCCTAATTTGCATTTTTTTTCTGTAGCAACAATAGACTCAATTTTCAAAAGGCAGAACAGTTCAAGATTGAGAAAGAATGCTCGTTGATACCTGATTTGATGCATTATCTTCAGTACCTTCGGCTCAGAACATTTATTGTGATATTATCCTAAGCATTCAAATATACAGACCTACAACTTTATAGACCATGCTGAGGCATGCTGCCTAATATCTACCCAAAGAAAATAAAATAGAAAGTAAGGGCTTAAATTTTATCCATGAACTTTTTTTATCCATCCTAGGTTTCTACAGCCAGCCGGTGTACCTTATGAAGTGTTGCTCTGAATTAAAATGTTTACAAGGGCATGGTGATAAATTTGCACTGATTTACAGGTGATACTGATTTTTGTGAATGTAGGTTAGATTACCGGTGTGCTATAAGGTCAAAGGTCAGAGAGGCTTTATCTGGACCACACCTATTTTCTGACTTCCTCAAGACCTGACCTCTTCACCGAAGGAAAACATTTAAAAACACAAAAAGACCAAGGAGGCACTGGTTTAATCGAAAGGTCTTGTCCTTTCTGAAAAGGAACACGGAAACCTAGTCAGAAGTTACCTGTTTCACCCTGGGGTGCAGATGGGTGGGGATGGGCAGATGGGGGTTGGGGTGGGAAGAGGTTTTCCAGTTTGTCCTTCCATGCATTTTGATGGTAGAACCATGTGAATATATCACCTATTCATAACTTAAATAAATACAATGTAAAAAATTTTTAAAAAATACCCCCACCAAATACCTGCAAAAGGTCTTGTCTGTGCTAATACCACTATGAAAACTTGTCCACTTAGAATACTTTGATAGTTATGATAAAATATTATTTGAAACAGACCTTGCTTGTTTATGAACACGGTGCCTTATATTACAGAATAAAGATAGAGAAGGAGAAAAGAGTGAGGGATGTCATTTGATGTGGTAATTTGAGAGTTTACACTTGCAAACACTAGTAATCATTGTTGCTGTATTTAGTACAAAGTATTATGGACTTAATCATAGTAGAGTTCTTTATAATCACAATTTAATTATTCAACCCAATTTCTTTCTCAGGGTAGGCCTAAATCATTTCTGGAATGTTAAGTAAGATAAGAAAGAGTTAACTAACTTAGTAAGATGTAACATCAAGGCAATGACAAGAATTAAAGTGACATCTAAAAATTCTTAGTTTACAGACCCTCAGTTTATAAGATCAGAACTTGCTGTTGCCCAATTTCACTTTTATTTTCAAGATAAGGATAACTTTTATACACAAGGAAGGTGAGGGGGATCTCTTTATACTATTTATTGTTGGCTACTAAATATTACCTATTTGGTTAAAATTTCACTTAGGGATGTGGTCTTTCTTGAATATTAACATTCCTGCGATGTTTTCTGTGCTGACACCTAAATGGAATTTGATCTCAGTTGTCCTTTGTAAGAGTTCCTATTGAAGTACTCCCACCAGAAATTATCATGGAAAACCCATTTGCTGCATGACCATCTCATTACTTATTCTGTCCACGGAATGGCACAGCTCGGAAGGCACACGGGGACAGGTGTCCAAATGAAGGCGCCATGCTTGACTGTGAACTGTGGGGCAGGGCACGCCAAGCACAGCTGTAAGGAACAAGAAATTCCATGGGCTCTATTCTTCTCATTTGTCATCAGCAGGGAATGTGTATCAATTGAAATCAAATCTGGTTAGGATTTGATTTCAACTGCAGAGTCTCTCATTGTCAAGGAGGTTTAAAACTCTGGGTGCTCTAAAGAACAGTCAAGAATATGCACATTACTTAAAAGGAGGAGGCTTATGTCTTCTTCTGTGGGGGGAGAAAGGAAATGAAAAAAATGGATTAAAGAGTTCTCTCACTCTCTCAGAGCTTAACATTAGTTATTTTCCAGTAAAAAGTTATAGGGACGTTTGAAAAAATGTTTTAAAAGCATGGTGCTTTGCTTATGGTCAGTTGTTCTGTATCTCTTTCAAAATATTTTACTTGTCAATATTCAATTTTATAACATTCCTTTCTGGAAAAGCATCATTGGTCCAAGTAAACCTTCATAGGGAATCAGAATAAAGAGGCATAGACCATGGATCAAAGGTCCAACCACAAGCAACTAGAAAAAAAAATAGATCAGATATACATGAAAGCACATGTTTGGAAGTGCCACACAGTTGTTTTTCCATGACACTGATATTTAACAGCATCGGAACCATGTTACTAACCATGGAGGGTGTCACTGCAATTCTGTGGACCCATGAAATATAGGAGGATCCTGTTATCCAAAGATAATCAGTACTGAAAAAGGCTGAGGAAATCAAGTACACTTAAAATGAAAAAAGTTAGTTTGAGACTTTATTGTAAAAGACAAAACTAGAAACTGTAAAAGCAAGTTTAGGAGTTAAGCAAATATTGGCTATAACTGGATGCATGTACAAGTTCTCACAATGAACAAAGCCTAAATCAAATAGGATTTCCGTGGAAAAAAAAGGGTAATTTTTCCAACAAAATTATATGGTAGCTTGATGTCCTTCACTTTTTATTTTCACTGCTTAAGTAAAAATACAGTCTTTTTGCAGGGGCGCCTGGGTGGCGCAGTCGGTTAAGTGTCCGACTTCAGCCAGGTCACGATCTCGCGGTCCGTGAGTTCGAGCCCCGCGTCGGGCTCTGGGCTGATGGCTCAGAGCCTGGAGCCTGTTTCCGATTCTGTGTCTCCCTCTCTCTCTGCCCCTCCCCCGTTCATGCTCTGTCTCTCTCTGTCCCAAAAATAAATAAACGTTGAAAAAAAATTTTTTTTAAAAAATACAGTCTTTTTGCAAATGTATTTTGCAAACCAAAGACCTCACCTAATTTTTGGGGGGGAGGGTAATTTAATCTTTGATTAAATCATTAAACCATTTGATTTCAACTCATTCTCACTTGAAACACTTATCAGAGAATCATCCTAATTCTTCACACATTGCCAGAAAAAAACACAACCCACAGCTGTGCAGCCAGTGTTCCCCCATGCCATCCCCCTAACTTCATGCAATCCTGTGTCTTGCAAAACTTGTTGTTTTGTTCCATAATCAATTTGTTCAATATCCAACCTCCTGGAGTTCACACTTACACACAAGGGTAGATGAAAGCATCCAACTAGAAGGAACGTTTGAGCAAGGGCCAGTTTTAAAAATGGTCAGGTCCTTAGTGAATATTTCTGTGTTATGATGATGTTTGCTTTTCTATACAATCTTATTTCTGTGGGAACTCAAATAATGAAAATTTTGAATTATGAGGACCAATTTTTAAACCTATTTTAAAGTATTTTTTTTTTAGACTGAAAGTCTACCAAACAGTAATATACTTGTGTTCTTTTTAGAACTTCATGCAAGACTCAGAGCACACAGGAGGACCTACTAAATAAATTATTAGTGTATATCCAATACAAAGAATCTGGAATTTTTAGTTTAGGAAATTTTAAAGTTTATTCTGTGTGTTTTTTTATTTTAATCTGTTTCACGGAACAACAAGGAGGCCTTAGTTACTAAACAGGAATTAAGCAGTGTCTTCCCATTTTCAGCTATATAAAGCACTGAGATATTATGAACTATTAAGAGCATTTCCTCACTTACAGGAACTCTCATTTCCTTTGTAAGTTAATAAATACTGAGGCTGGACCTAAGCTAGCATGATAAAATAGTAAAAGACCCTACATTACAAATATTCCCTAAATATTTGTGTCTATGACTACCAGTCATACAGTTTCATAAATGGATAACTTTTTAATTTTTTATTATTTTTTAATTTAAATTTTAGTTACTTAGCATACAGTGCAATTTGGTTTCAGGAGTAGAAATCAGTGATTCATCACTTACATATAACAGTGCTTATCCTTAGTACCCATCACCCATTTACCCCCACTCACCTCCCTCCATCAACCCACAGTTTGTTCTCTATTGTTAAGAGTCTCTTATAGTTTGTTTTTCTCTCTTCTCTTTTCCCCCACCTTCCCACATATTCATCTGTTTTGTTTCTTAAATTCCACACATGAGTGAAATCATATGATATCTGTCTTTCCCTGATTGACTTATTTCACTTAGCAAATACATTCTAGCTCCATCCATGTTTTTGCAAATGGCAAGTTTCATTCCTTTTGATGGCTGAGAAATATTCCATTGTAAATCCACATCTTCTTTATCTGTTCATCAGTTGATGGACATTTGGGCTGTCTCCATAGTTTGGTTATTGCTGATAATGCTGCTATAAACATTGGGGTGCATGTACCCCTTCAAATCTGTCTTTTCATACCCTTTAGGTAAATACTTAATAGTGTAATTGCTGGATCATAGGGTAGTTCTAGTTTTAGTTTTTCTGAGGAACCTCCATACTGTTCTCCAGAGTGGCTTCACCAGTTTGCATTACCACCAACAGTGCAAGAGGGTTCCCCTTTCTAGATGGATGACTTTTAAAAATCTCTCTCAGGGGCGCCTGGGTGGCGCAGTCGGTTAAGCGTCCGACTTCAGCCAGGTCACGATCTCGCGGTCCGTGAGTTCGAGCCCCGCGTCAGGCTCTGGGCTGATGGCTCGGAGCCTGGAGCCTGTTTCCGATTCTGTGTCTCCCTCTCTCTCTGCCCCTCCCCCGTTCATGCTCTGTCTCTCTCTGTCCCAAAAATGAATAAATGTTGAAAAAAAAAATTAAAAAAAAAATCTCTCTCACATAAATATATTGCAAATGAGGATATATATGAATTTAAATAATCTGCAACAACATAACTGTTCATTGAATATAACTCTTAGGAATTATATTCTCAGAGGATACATATGCCAAGCAAGGACTTGACCCAAACATTTATAAATTATAACAAAATTTATTGGCAATAGAGTTGGTAGGTTTACCTGAGATTGTGCATTGACATTGGCTCCATTTGTGACCAAGACTTTTACCACCTCTGCTTGCCCAGCCAAAGATGCTATATGCAAGGCTGTGTTTCCTTTCTGTAAAATGAAAAGATACATCACTCACCCTCTTTATCTCTTTGTTTCAACATTTTATAAAATATGGAATCCTTCTATGTTTCTAAGTTCCCCAAAGAGAACATGGTTGGTTGATAAGTATCTCATGAGAAGCTTGCCCTCATTCTTATCAAAGGCTGAATCCTTACTGAATCTGTCAATTGACATAAAAACCGTTAAATATGTGATACTGACCTTTGTAGCTGCATCCACATTGGCTTCTCTCTGTAGCAGTTCAGAAACAACTTCTACATGGCCTTCTTTAGAAGCAAGATGGAGCGCGTTCAACCCATTCTGATTAAGAATGAAGGGAAAACTTTACTCAGCAGGTTGAGAATAGAGCAGGAAACAGTCTACTTAGAACTCTGAAGATAATATCCCACCAACAATCACTTGTATGTGTGCAGTATAGAATCTTGAATTAGGAATAAAGGTACTTGAAAATTAGGCAGGTTGTTCTAGTATCATTTTTTACTAAATTTTAAGAATTCTTAAAGAATGCATACCTACATGTGTGAATGCCCCTTTAACAAAGCAGAGTAATTTGAAAATCTGACTGATGATGTTTAGCCAGAAAAAAGAAAAAAGGCAAGAAAGAGAAAGTCTTGGTAACAACTAAGGAAAGATTCAAGGAGTTTATAGTCTGGATTTTTTAAAATTTTAACTAGAAAATTAAACAGCAACAAAAACCACAACTAACCTGATTGCAAATGTTTATGTCAACCCCATTTTTTATGTAGTCAAGGGCCTTTTCAAGGTGTCCAGCTCGAGCTGCTCTTAAGTAACTTGCATTGGCATCAGACTAAAAGAAAAAAGAAAAACATTTTGATGAAATGAAACTCATATACATGTTAGAGCAATTCAGCTTATAGTCCAAACTAAAAAGATTTTTAAAGTCAGTATTTTTAAATTGAACTATTGTATTTCTAACATGAAAATACTCTAAAAAGTCTTTGTGAAATCACCAGGAAAAGGATAAATTCTTGAAAAGTTAGTTTCAAGTATACAAAGTTACCCTTTGTGTGATGTCATAACTGAGAAAATTTCCCATAATATGTAGGTGCCTTCAATCAACATACAATTCCTAGGGACTGAAGAGAAATCCTATAACTTCCTGGTGGTTTCATTATGAAAATCTCATTATTCTATTTTACAGAAATTTAACATCTATTCCATTCTTTCATATTTAACTGTCCCCACCAATTTTTCAATTCATAGGTTCACAAATATGTTTAATGTTATTATACTAGTTTAACAGGAATTTGTAGGATGTTCTCTTGGATTTTCCCACAGCACAAAGCCATGTGTTAGAACATAGAATGTTTCTGAAAAGCATTTATAAATTTCTGTACAAATTGTGAAGAGTACTTTCCATATATTTTCAAGCAAGCTAAGGCTACCACCTAAGAAAACTCTATTAGGAACATTAGCAAGAGCAAATAAATAAATACATATAAACTGGAAAGCAACAAAAACCAAATCTGTAATGCATTCACCAAAAGCTTACAACTCTGCCTTTCTGCTAAACACTAGTACTTCTGATTGTGGGGTTGAAACCACCTATACCAGTGAACCTTTAATGGAAAGAAGACAGGGAGATGAAAGAATTCAAAGTTGGGTCTGCACAACTTGTAAAGGAGTCTTGCTCAGTGTAGAACAACATAGAAGCAGGTTTTCCTGAAAGGGTAGCCAAAAACATCTCATCATTGGTTATCAATGCCATCATGTGGGGGTATGGCTGAAATAACAGAGGAAATTGTCTTCTTTCAGCCATTTGGCAAATACCTTCAAAGCCCCTGTTCACAGGCCACCTCATCTGGAAAGCCTTCCCAGACCTCCCAGTCAGAGATTAATTGCTTGGTGCTCACAAAGCATGAATTTTGTTGACTCCTCTGGGTATTTCTCACACAGCATTATAGTTTTTGGTATACCTGTCCTTCTTCCTCTCTAAATTGTAAGTCCCTTAAGAATAAGCAGAGGTAGCCTTGATCAAGGGGTAGGCATACAGAAAGCTGACAAGATGCCAATCTTTGAGGAGTGCTACTTCATCCTTGGAAATGTAATTCTGATAAAGGAAATTCCATTCTGAGAAGAGTCTTTGGTTTTGGTGTGGGTCAATTTAGTTAGGATTCGATTTGCTCAGGTCTTCAAAGGATAGGCCACTATTTCTATGTGTTCCACTCTCCTCATTTATAGCAGTACACCTCTCCCTGAAGAAGTATTCCTTTGTCTAAATCATGCCTTCCCAATCTCAGCATTACTGGCATTTTTTAAAGAAAGATGTTATTTTATTTTATGTAATCTCTATCCCCAACATGGGGCTGAAACCCACAACCTCAAGAGTTGCACACTCCACCAACTCAGCCAACCACCCACCCCTACTGGCATTTTGATCCAAGGAATTCTTTGATGTGGGAGATGGTCTTGTTTGGTGTAGATGTTTATTAGCATCCCTGGCCTCTAACAACTATCACCTATTTGTGACTACTAAAAATATATCCTGAATTGCCAAATTTCCCTTGGCAGTTGGGGAAGAGGGATTTTCCCAGCTGAGAACCACTGCTCTAAATAAAGAGAAAACCAATTTATTTACAGATTGTAGGCCTGTCTGAGTTACCACATGCCTTGACTTACTGCAGGCCAGTGACTATATGTATAACATTCATTTTTGTGTTTCCCCTGGAATTAGAAGCATCCTGGCACACAGCAGGTGCCTAAAAATGGTTTTGTGAATGAATGAATCAACAAATAAGTAAATTGTATGGAAATAACTGTACTAATTAAAATATTGCCTGCAACAATACAGGAAGTTTTATTCGTAACAGCAGCCGCAGCTATCTAAATGGAGAACCTGCTAGAATTCAAAGCTGACTGCCAAAGATGATAAACTAAGCCATTGAGTTGGTATCTGGGAACACACGTAGCTATTGCTAAAATAAAATTGGGATGTGAGTCAAGCATGCAAATCATTTAATCAGAACAGAGGGTTAAGTAAGAGGAGGACAAGAGATATGGCTTCAAATTAGACAAAGGACAAACCAAAAGTTTGAAGGAATTTCAAGAAAAATAAAATACAGTTTTTAAAGAGGTTTGCTACTTTGAGATGGTTGGGGGCACGGTTGTCTGGTTTCAAGTCCAGTTAGAAATAAATTAGCTATGCGAGGATGGCTCATTGTACCGTAAAACATCATCTTCTTTGTGCCTGCTCAATGACTTATCAGCGAATTTGCCCAGAAGGGCTCTGAGGCTGTTCTGGGAACAAATGACATCAGTATTGGATGTTTCAACTGCCAGAGATAACAACTGTGAGTTAAGCATCCCCAATTCTGACTCTGAGTGCATAAAAACAGCTACTAAAGAAGTTCAAACAGAGGTATCATAATTCAAGGAAAGCCTCTGAGTTGATTCCATATCTGAAAAGTTTTGACAACTGTATATACTGCCCATTTTCCTCTCCGAAATTTTCTCACCAGAATCTCTAAAGCAAAACAAAATACAACGATAAAAAAAATTCTAATCCAGTGCTTCTCTACCTATTTGGAGTTCAGATTCTTTTGAGACTAACAAAAGTGGCAAAGAAATCCCTTTCCTTCAACAACTGTACATATATGCACACATACACCAAATCTGCACATACACACCAAACCTGTGCGTGCACACAAAATTTGCACACTGATTTCATGTGGCTCGGGATTGCCAACCCTGCTCACGGATCCATGTTTAAGAACATGTTTAACATGAATCCATGAGCAGTAGATAAATGATTAAGAGTTTTCCGGTGGATACCTTCACTGTATATGTCTCACCCAGTGACCCTAGTATCAAATAATTCTCTAAGGTAGCTAATTTATCACCTGAGAACTTTAAGAAAAAGAGAAGAAACAAAAAAAAATTATTTTCTTCCCTTTTCTCAGCCCTCTGTTATGCACAGACATGCTTAACACACTGATACAGAACAATCAGCTACTTTATACTTCCAAGAAAAAGTATGGGCAATAAAGAAGGAAGAAAATACAAAGAAAAAGCAAGAGGAAGAAAATGAAGTCTGCCTTGAAGAAAAATGACAACTTAGGGAGTGTGGTTATTCCTACCTTCAGAAGAAGAACCAAGAAGATCCTCCTTTTATTCTCAACCACCTTCAAACAATGCAGCCCTGTCTTCCACAAATATTTGCTGAACATGGATGGGGCACTAGTCAAGGCTGACATCTGGCTGCACAGAGGTGAGTGAAACATACTGGCACCAGTGAAGGCTCACTTTCACCTCCCTCTTACACTTTACCAAATCATGTTGCTTAAGTGGCAGGGTAAATAATGGATTCTTCCCTATTTTTTTTTTTTCAAATTCTATCCCTAGTACCTATATGATGCTCTTTATTTCCTTAACGCTAAAAATATATAATATTTTGTATTTGGCTCAATATCAATGTGTTGTGTCTCTGAGCTGTCATTTCATCAAAAACTTGGGAGTCACTCTTTACACAGACTACAGCCTGGGTTTTAGTCCCAAGCATGCTATCAAAACAACGCCTCTTAAAGCCAGTTGTAGACAAAGCCCTATGAAAGGAAATCAGCTCTCATGAGAAGGTAAGCTCTGCCACGTGAAAAGTCAAACAGAGGAGATCATTGCCTAGTGAGTCAGTTGGCACAAAATGAATATAAGCAGGTCAGTCAGCATTTTTTCCCGTAGATGATCAAAATCTGTAGGAAGAATCTGGAAAATGATAACGTCTTTCATCACCATTTCATGTCTTGTCTACTTAGTCATTTTACTAGACAGGAAAGAAATACGAACCACGTGTGTTTTTCAAGGAAACAGCTTCAAGGGTAGAGTCAAGTATTATTATGGATTAATCTAATAACTCAGCATTTCCACCTATACTGGCATATTGATATTTTCAGCAGAAAGCAGTGATTGGAATGAGTAAGCATTTCCTGAGTGCCAACATCAGTAATAAACTAATACTTCATACCTCTGACTATATGCTAGACACTATTACAAGTACTTACATTAACTTCATTATATTAGTCACTTACTACAGTATGTATTAATTGCATGAATCCTTACATTAGTTTAGTCCTTATAATATTTACATGAAGTAGTGTAGTGAATTGTGTCTCTCCAAAATCTCGGAACCCCAGAAGATGGCATAGGACACAGGACATGGATATAGGATCTTTGCACAAATAATTAGTTAAGATGAGGTCAGACTGGATTTGAATGGGCCCTAAATCAATGACTGATGGTTTTAGAGGAAGAGAAAATATATAAATATCAAATCATTATATTGTACACCTCAAACTAATATAATGGTATATGTCAACTATATCTCAAAAAAAAAAAAAAAAAGACAAGACACACAGATACATAAGAGAGAACATGTAAAGATGCAGGAAGAGGCTGGAGTTAAGTTGACACAAGATAAAGAGTGCCAGGTGGGGCACCTGGGTGGCTCAGTTTGTTAAGTGTTTGACTTCAGCTCAGGTCATGATCTAAAGGTTTGTGAGTTCGAGCCCCACATCAGCTCTGTGCTGTGCCCCCACCTCCCACTCACATACTCTCTCAAATATAAATACACATTAACAACAACAACAACAAAATGCCAGGAACCACCAGAAACTGGAAGACACAAGGAAGAATTATCCACTCAAGCCTTTGGAGGAAGTGTGGCCTTGTGGACACCTTGATTTTGGACTTCCGGCCTCCAGAACTGTGAGTAAGTTTCTAGTGCCATAAGCCACTGAGTTTGTGGTGGTTTGTTATGGCAGCCCTAAGCAACTGATACAAATAAGAACAATTACT